GACCATTGTATATATGATTAGATTGGCAGTTGGAAAAGCAATTGTTGGAAACTTTATTCCCTTTCCTATAGGCTCAGCCATTATAAATCAACCAGCAGCTTTTCAACTTACATCAAAATGAGGTTGCTATTTTTGGCAGAACTGTCTGGTTTCCAAGACTGCTGGGCAGTCAGCAGTCACCTGTTTTTTTTATGAGCTCTGCAGAACAGTGATCCATCTCAAATGATCTTTAATTACATTTACCTATATTATGAACGACTGAACAACTCCTCGCAGAGTGCTTTACTGGAATCTGCTTTCTTAGCATTGCAGATAACCTCTGCTTGCCCAGGAAAGGTGGGCAGCAGGAAAACAATCTACTAACTTTATTTGCACTGGGCTAAAATCAAGGCTGATTTTAAGTCCATTTAATTTCAGTTTAATCTGAAAGGTAGCCTTGCCTTTAAGTGAGAACTTAATGAGAACAGTCCAAATGCCCTCTCTAACATTTAAGAGGAAGTGATGGAACTGAAGACCCTACCGAATCATTGTATAAATGGTATAGGATTTCCTGCTTGAACAGGGGGTTGGACTAGAAGACCTCCAAGGTCCCTTCCAACTCTGTTCCATATTCTATTCTATTCTATTCTATTCTATTATCATATTCTAGCATATTCTATTCTATTCTATCATATTCTCTTCTCTTCTCTTCTCTATTCTATTCTATTCTATTCTATTCTATTCTATTCTATTCTATTCTATTCTATTCTATTCTATTCTATTCTATCATATTCTATTCTATCGTATTCTATTCTCTATTCTATTCTATTCTATTCTATTCTATTCTATTCTATTCTATTCTATTCTATCATATTCTATTCTATTCTATTCTATTCTATTCTATTCTATTCTATTCTATTTCATAACTATATATTCTATTCTATTCTATTCTATTCTATTCTATTCTATTCTATTCTATTCTATTCTATTCTATTCTATTCTATTCTATTCTATTCTATTCCATTCTATTTCATAGCCATATATTCTATTCTATTCTATTCTATTCTATTCTATTCTATTCTATTCTATTCTATTCTATTCTATTTCATAACTATATATTCTCTTCTCTTCTCTTCTCTTCTCTTCTCTTCTCTTCTCTTCTCTTCTCTTCTCTTCTCTATTCTATTCTATTCTATTCTATTCTATTCTATTCTATTCTATTCTATTCTATTCTATCTTATCCCTATCCCTATCCCTATCCCTATCCCTATCCCTATCCCTATCCCTATCCCTATCCCTATTTTAATGTTGCTCTTCCTTCTAAGACTTTTCAACACCAGTTAGGAGGGGACCTTTAAAATTATAATCATGTTTCAGTCAAGAGCAATTCCTTTTATGTGACTGAACAGGAAATAAAGCCCATCCTTTACGTAGTTTGTTGACTTCAGCAAATGGCTAAATCAGATTGGCTATACAGTGTCACACTGCTGAGTCTATGATCCTGGGATAGATCACTGTACAAAAAATGAAATGGGGAGGGGAAACGTGCAAATAAAATTGGCAGAACAGTAGAGGGGGGCAGTGACTGGGTGGTCATGAACATATAGAATAGATAATGGTGCAGGCCATTTTCTCCAAACCATTATTTGCAAGCCAAAATCTGAAGAATGCTAATCTTATCCGTAATTTATCATCCCCAAAGAAATTATGGTACCCAACTAATCTCTTTTACATGGCTCTGTTGCTAATACAGAAGATCATTACAAAAGTAAGGAGGTTTAAATGATGTGTCCCGTTTCTTTCTCTCCTTTCCAGTATAAAATGCCTTCTCTTCTGCATGCTTGTGCCATAGTAGTTAAAGCTTATTTTCCCCAATGCACACAGATTTTGTAATTTTCCTGCCTCCCCTAACTGGTTAATTTCTCGTGCCTTTTAGCTTAAGATTGTTCTCTCTTCTTTTTGAGTATATTTATCATTATTCCAGACAATTGCTTTGGTCTGGCAAGATTAATGTCTGGCCCAAGGAACCAAGACTGACATGTGGAGTTACTTATGAGTAGTTCCTTTATTGTTGTTCGCCTACAGACAGAATCTTGCCAGACTAAAGCAATTATCTGCCATCACTATAGACATACTCTCTGATTGTTGCTCTCTTTTTGCCTGTCAGACATTCCGAGTTCCACTGTCTCTTTGCCCTCTGGGAAAAAGCAGTTCCCTCCTGGGATTCCCGACTACATTCCACCACAGCTTTGCTAAAAAAAAAATTCTATCAACGTTTACTTCATGTTTTTACTGCTTTTGAATCCACAACCACCTTTTAATAGAGACTCAATTCTTAACTTCTATTTAACACAACTTCAACTGTTTAGATCTTCCCTTCTCAAAGTTTTCTGTCTGGGAAGAGAACTAGATTATTTTGTAGATCAACTAGCTGGTCATATTTAGTGCACCATCCCATTTTTTTTTTCTACCGTGTTTATGGTGCCACAAACACAAAGTCCTAACGGGATGAACTTGGACTTTCTGAACTCATCCATCTGTATTCAGATTCTGAAGAAACCCTTTCTTCTCACCTGGTGCAATTTTGTTCTGCAGGCAGGTCACTGAAACATATAGCTTTGCTTAAAACAATTTCGTCTGAATTCAATTTATATGTAAATCATGCAATGCACGGTAAGGACAAGAAGTTAAGAGCCACCAATGAGTTTTCA